TTGATAAAACCAAAATGCTAATTCATTTTTTTCTCGGTCAATGTAATTTACAGTCCACAGTGTGAGTTGCATTCGATATGTAGGAACTGCCTGCTAGAAAAGAAAATTATTGCACAATCTTTCAATTAATACTAGAACAACAAGTGGTTTATGTATATCATGTGTATTTTATTGTATCATGTGTGTAGCAGCAATGAGAAATAATTTTGAACATTGATATAGATTACAAGCATTAATATTACTTAAGTGTATACTTTCCAAGTATTTGTGGAATAAGAGTAGAATATCAAAGTGGTTTCAAAGTCCCAAATATGTGATAAAAGATATGTCTTTGAATATGTTGGAAAAGTTTAACAAATATTGGAATGTGATTCATGGTATTATGGGAATCACCACTGTTTTAGATGCACGGTATAAGTTGGGAATTTGGAGTATTACTATGAGAAAACGTATGGAGATGTGCAGCTTCAAATGAAGTGATGAGGATTAAGGAGCTTTGCTTGGAATTGGTAAGCGTATTTTTACCGAGGCAAGGAAATGATTATGAACCATAGCCTTCTCCTCCCCCTTTTCAATCAAATTTTGGATTCAAACGCCCATTAATTGGTGATCTCTTTGATTTTGATAAGTTTATATAAACAAAAGACAAAATAAAAGCACATGGGAGGTCTAAGTTAGATTGTTACTTAGAAGATGGTATGATGTCAAGAACTTCAGATTTTGATATACTATCTTTTTGAAAGACAAGTGGTTCCAAATATCCTCTGTTTCAAATCATTGCTAAAGATCTTTTTTCTATTCCTATTTCTACTGTTGTCTTGGAATCTACTTTTCAAACTACAGTAGTAAGGCTTTAATGTGCTCTCAAAGTTAGTTATGGGTTGCAGAACGAGGTAATAAAATATTATTTGTATGAACATCATAATTCTTTTGGGGTTGGGGGGGGGGAGTTAAATTATGACTACTGCACTATTTTGTTTTTCTTAGATTCATCCACTTTGAGGGTCCCAAAGTGCTACGCATTATTGGCGTATCTTGAAATGGGTGATGAGGTATAGAATTTTAGTTGAAAAATTCCCTTTTGAAGAATCTAATAGCTTTTTCTTTTTTTTTTTCTTTTAATGATACTAATTGGTGCGCACATGCGTTACATGTGAACCATTTCGAATATGAATTACTTTATGTTAAAACCATGAACTATTCTATCAATTAATAATCAATAATGTATCTCATATCATTATCAATATCTTTTCCGCATACTTGGTATGAGAGTTACTATGAGCTTTTTTAATTAAATATTTTTTTTTTGTTACCAAAGAATTTGTACATGCACTCGCAATAAAAGCTTAATCTTATGTTTTGCATTCATATTCTAGATGAAAGGCCATGGGTTTTATGAAACGAATAGGAATGTTTGTGCTTCCTATAACCCTTCCTACCCTTGAGTTCTAAAAAAATGACATCTGTAGTTGAATTTAAACATTCTTTTAGAATCATAGTTCTATACTATGATCTCTTCCTCTTGTAGCATTGTGATTGGAATGGAAAGAATGACAATATTCTCTAAAAGCTCAATCTACAGGAATAATATTCTCCTGCTTTTATTCCCTTATTTTACCAAATGGAAAGAATGACAATATTCTCTTAAAGCTCACTCTACAGGAGTATATCCTCCTATTTTCATTCCCTTATTTTACCAATTTATATTGTGTCACTGACCTTGTCAATCCTATAATCATCTGGTTTACAACATAACAAAGAGAAATTTGGTAAAGGCAGTATCCATTTATCTATCGAGAAATTAATATGCATGGCCTCAAGAACTTCACGCTACAGAAATTTTTCAAATATTGTTAACGAAACAAGTAATCATAATCTTGATCAGTAAGCTAACATATAGTCTTTTGGAAATATGAATGAACATAATCACTAACCATAGGAGTCATAATCACTATTGTGCTCTAATCATGTATGCTTCCCAGCATACATACGGAATTTGAGATGCTAGATTCCACCCAAAGCATTACCCATCAAGGAAGGGTAAAAGAATGATAAAAATGAACCATGGGGAAGAGCAAAACAGGCAATTGTACACTTGTGCTATGTTGGAATCTAACCTTCTAATCATAACTTCGAAATAACTTATGGAAGAAATTTTTTTTTATACACCCCCTTTTCTTTTTTGAATTTGATGATACACTATTTTCCCTATTTTATGGGGACCATCCTCTCAAGAGCAATCTGAAGTACAAGGTTAGTAAGTTACTTATCCCAATACTAATTTTTTTTTTTTTATATCTTTGAAAATTGACACAAAAAGTAACAAGGGCCAACCAACTAACCCATAATATCAAAAATTAGAGAACCTAGTAACAGAAAAGACAGACATGACACAAATGGAAATTATTGGCAGAGACATATCATATTAGTGCTTTATAGAAGAGAAACCTTGTGCTATCAATCAGTATCCCCAACAATTCCTAGAATTCACAGATGACCACATACTTTTTTAAAGAAAATATGAAACTTGAAAATTCTCTAAACTGAATGTGATCCTCAAGATTCAATACAAATATAATTAATAATATCCAAAATGCATACAAAAGTATACTCATGTCTTGATTCAAGAGTCACTTGACATAAATATAAGCAATAAAAAAGTTGATAGAGATTGGACAATCAACTGAACGACGGGAGATTCACTTAGCACATTGTAGAAGTCAAACTCATTAAACATGTTTGTGGCAAAAACAAAGACAACTTAGTGATCTCACAAACAAATACTAGCCATGGCATGATATTTAGCTGCGGCCGAAAATCTAGAAACAGTGGTTTGTTTTTTGGACTTTCAAGCAATGTTATCAGAATCGGATTGGATATCGAACGAGAGAATGATAAAAAATGAAAGAAAGATAAATTTTTTAAAATTTTTATGTGTTTGGTTAGCATGAAACGAAAAATGATAGAAAAAATAATTTTTTTTCATGCATGAATTTTCTCACAACTAACCAACTTTTTTTTCTTACTAAAAACACAAGAAAATTGTGATTTATAACTAACTTCTCATTTTACCTTTATTTTTCTTAAAATATTTTATTGGTTATTAATTTTAAAAAATATTGGTATGAATTTGATTAACCATATAATTTAATCCAAAAACCTTTGTGCTGGTGCTTGTTCTAGAATTAGGTTACGAACCACTTTTTAAAAAAAAATTAACTTTCAATTATAATACATATTTTTTTTCTTCTTTAGACTGATTTAATATAATTTAAGATAATTTAGACAATTAGAAATTTTTTTTATAACTTTCCTTTCTTTCAAACAATAGAATGAAAATTTTTTAAAACTTTCTTGCAAGTTTTTCATCCTAATCAAATAAAAATATATTTTTTATCATTTTATTTTCTTTCACTTCACTTTTTATCAATTTAACTTTCCGTTATTCTTTTCTTCCTAACCAAACAGACCCTAAGATTTTAGATAGACTTGTGAAATATATTTGGCCTTTAACTTGGTCCATCCAAAAAGGCCTCAAAATATGAAACTAAACAAATGACTGAAAATTAAATTGGATCTCTAAATTTTTTAGACTCTAGGCGACTATTTTAAAAGATTAAAGTATTTGCCCATCTCGCGACAAATGTAGTTTTTGCTCCTCTCTCATTGTCAAGCCTTCGTCCATAGAACCGATTAAGTCAGACAAATTGATTAATGGATAATGCGCAACGATTAAAAGTAATATATGTGTTATTTTATATTTTATGTATTTTTTCATTAATTATTATAATGTAGGGTCACATAATTTTTCTTTTTTAGTAATTTAGGCATCTAATATATATTAAAGATTAAGTATGTATTATTTCATACTTGTGGTTTCTCAGTGCTAACTGTTCAATATTATAATCCCTATGAATTATAAATATATATAGATAATCATGACTAAATATATATTTTTTAACAAACAAATTTATACATCTGTTTATCTCTCTCATCTCTTGCTTGACCTGCACTTTTTGAAATACAATCTATTGTTTCATTACTATTTTTATGTCCTTCTTATTAATTTGTTTTGTATGTTCTTCATTAAAATTGTGGTATTACATGATTGACTATCAATACACATTCATAATTCCTTATTATATGTTATTAAATTATTTTATCAAGTTCAAAAAAAATATTTTACTATTTTTTAATTTTTTTTATATGATCCTTAACTTGTTTATGTATGCATCATTCACCAACTATTTTATTGTATTTTATTTTCTCTGATAACAATTTTATTGATTTTTTTATATTAATTAGTTTTTATTATGGATCCTTTATGAGAATGAGCAATTTAATTAGTTGATATTTTATATTTAAATGAAAACAAAATCGAGTTTGAGAGAAGTAAAAAATGTGTTTGATTTGTTTTTATTTGTAGAAGAGAGACACTTATTATATTTTTTTATCGAAATGTTAATTATTTTTTGTCCTTAATAAATGTGTATGACTGCACTTTTGAACGTAAATTTTAAATTTTATTTTGTTGATGTTTTCAAGAATTTTTTTTTAAGTTAAATTATAATGGATTTTAACCTTTGATGTATATTTTATTATTGAAATTTAAAATTTCAAACCTTTTTTATACCTGGGCATAAAGCCACGTTTTTTTGAATGTATTGTTGAGCCGCTCAATTACAATTATGCCCTTGTGTTGAGGTTTAACCCTAGCCAGCAATCTTTTTCTCATCTCTCCCCACTTTATCGAGCAGCGACGACTACAGAGGAGGGTGGTCGAACTTCGGCGCTTGAATCAACAGTTTTTTAGGTAAGTTTTATGGAAAAAATTCAGCATTATGTTGCTTGTTTTGGTTTTTTTGTTTCGGTTGAGATGGGTGTTTACCGTGGTTGTGGAGTGGGAGTTTACTGGGTGAGTGTATGGGTTTGCAAAAGTTTAGGCGAACATCTGCTGGTGTTGTGGATGAGATTATGGTGGGTGGGGAAGGGGATTTGCAGAGAGGGCTGTGGTATTGAGTTGACGAGGTCGATCGTCGGGAATGGGTTCCAAGTATCTTCACCTCAGGAAGATTGCATCTCACGCAGGATTTTCAACGCATTTTTCCTCCAAGGATAATTTAGCAATTTTTATGCAAATAATGGATTTTGTATGAAAAAAAGGGGGATTAGCCGGTTATTTCTCCTCATCAAATATACAAGGTCACTCAAGATTTAAGCTTCTCAAGGATGAAGACTTCTACATTAGTTAGGATTTTAGATTATGTAAGATGCATGGACTTTTTTTTTTATTTTTTATTATATCGGTCTTTTATATCGCAGCTTTTATATCACAGCTTTACTCTCACGCAGTGCTTCAGCCGTCCTCCCATTACTGCCGGACACTCTCTTGCTCTCCGACGTCTCGTTTCCACTACTCCAGTACTCTCTCTCTCTCTCTCTCTCTCTCCATATACATACCTATAGGTTCTGCACTGTATGTATACATGTACAGTGATAGATATGCGTTATATATATATATTGCATTCTTGTTGGTTTGTAGACAAAGAGAATGTTGGACATAAATCTGTTCAGGGAAGATAAAGGTCACAACCCCGAAATCATTCGCGAATCTCAGCGACGTCGTTTCGCCAACGTTGATCTCGTTGATGCGATCATTCAGCTTGACAAAGAATGGCGTCAGCGTAACCATCTATCCCTCTGCACTTTTTACCCTCTACTAGATTCAATTCATGCTGGGATTTTCATGATTCAGGGTTTTGAATCTGTTTGTGTGTAATTGGGGGAAGTTTCTTTTGTGGTTTTGTAGGTCAATATGAGCTCGATCAGTTGCGGAAAGATTTTAACAAGATTAACAAAGAAGTAGCAAAGCTCAAAATTGTGAGTATTTTGGTTGACTTTCTGATCATATTGTTTTGCTGATTTTTTATTTTTAATAATTTGCTTCTGGGGCTTTATCTCAAACCTAATTACAGAATGCAACGTGATTGCTATGTTTTTGTTTTTTGGTTACAAATTTTATAAAATAGGTATTTATTCTTGCATTTCAGTTTGCTATTCAGTTCTTGGGGTTCTTATTTTTACCCCTGAAGCATGGGGAGTGTAGTACTTTAGGAACATGAAACTGTAAACTCAGAGCTTCATTGGAAATTGATAATTTTGGATTGTGGAGGCTCATTGGGGGCAATGGTGCAATTAAAACATAGGCACGGACCTTACAAGTTTGTTAAGAATAAAACTCATTGTCAATTCCGTTCCAATTGGCTGAGATGGTGCTGGAGGGATGGATTTACACCACTCTAGGTATTTTGTTATCGATTCACAAGCTCAAGATTGGATATGTGATTATGATATTAAAGATCCTCTCTTATTTTAATTTTTGCAATATGTACAATTTTTTATTTGAACCTTGTTCATGAGATTTTGGTTGAGAATACGCTTGTTTAGTTTTCTGCTGAATGATCTTGAGTATTTTCTTTGCCTTTTCATTTGCATCTTGGGGGTTTTGGTTTTGAAACTGAATTGTGGAATTGGTGATTGAAAAGTCGGGAGGGGATGCGAGCGAAATGATTAAGAATACTGAGGATAACAAGCAATTAACTGCAACAAAAGAAGCAGAAGTTCAGGAAGCTCGAGCAGCACTATATTCAAGATTGGAAGTTATTGGAAACCTTGTGCATGATTCAGTTCCAGTTAGCAATGATGAGGTATGTATCAATTTCTTAATATTGTTCAGGAGTTTTATGGGATTTGTAATTAATCTCTTTCTCATTTCTTCAATAATTTTGTAGGCAAACAACGCCATAATTCGATCTTGGGGGGAGACAAGGTCCGAACCAAAACTTAAAAATCATGTAGATCTTGTTGAGCTTCTTGGAATTGCAGATATAAAGAAAGGTACTAAGTTTTGTTTGTTTAGTCTATCTTTTTCTTCCAGGAAAAGAGTAGCTTCAATTTGCCATTATCTAGTGTTGCACTATGAACTGTTTGTGATTGGAGCTCTAGTGACCAAGCAGGCACCTCCCCATTTCACTATAGTTTCACCCTCATTGGACTTGGGTGGTCATGTCAGTGCTAGCATGTGTCTGAGCCTCGTAATTCATATAATCATAAAATTCCAGGGCAGAAGTGCATATTCAAAATGGGTTAAATGACTGTTTTTGCAAGCATGATCATTGGTTGATTGGGTCTCTATGTGTAGTATTGTTTTGCAGGGGCACTTGTCTCATTTTGTAATAACCATGAAAAGTGCAGCATATCAAGAAAGTTTTACCCAAAGTTAAATATCAAATTAACTTTCTAGACAAGCTTCTTAGTTGCATTCTGACTAGAGATGTCGAGCACATATACTGTGGCCCTACCCAATTATGTAATGTTGACATGACAAGGATTTCAGTATTTAACTCCGTTAGCTGAAACAATGTAAGATAGTTTGATTTTCTTTATTGTTCTAGTTGATTGCGGTGATGGAGTGGAAATTGCACGCTAAATTACTCCAAAATCCAAATCCACATTGTTTCTGCCAATTGTACTCAATCTAAAAGCCACAAGAAACTACACCAAACTCTCAAAACTTGCATGGTTATTTGCTTGTGAAATTTTGATCATTTGTCAAGTAATTGAATAAATAGAAATAATGCTCACACTAAACATGAGAAGAAAAAGAAATACAAATGAACATAAAACAGAATATGTATGCATCTTGATCTAGGCTGGCCTCTGTGTAGGAGACAAACTTCCTCTTGAATCACTTTAATGATTGTTGACAATTTGGAAATCTTTGGTTAATTTTTGTAATAGTGTTTGGTATTTATGGAATGGATATGCTCTTTGGTTAAATGGGTTTGATGAACTGTAGCGTCGTTGTCTTCATTTGTGTTATTAGTTGAGTTTCTTGGGATGGATTGTGGAATTTTTTCTTGCATTGTTTCAAATGTCTAATGTTTGCATTCGTTATTGTGCTCCATAGTTCAACTTGTCCAACTCTAGTTTCAGCTATTTGAGATCAGCTACTCAAATCTGCATTGAACCATATCTATTCTTGTTGGCTGAGTTGCCAATTCTCATTGAATAATGAATATGACTCAATCATGGTAGCTGACTTTTTTTGTCATACTATCTAAGACTCACAACTGCATACTTGTTTAATTGAGTGTGCTAATCGAAATGTCTGAAACTGTAGGTGCTAATGTAGCAGGAGGTAGAGGCTTCTATCTGAAAGGAGATGGTGTATGTCTTAACCAAGCTTTGATCAACTTTGGTCTTAATTTTTTGAAGAAAAGGGGGTACACGTCATTGCAGACTCCATTCTTCATGAGAAAAGATATTATGGCGAAGTGTGCTCAATTAGCGCAATTTGATGAAGAGCTTTACAAGGTAACATATCTGATGCTTTAAAGATCTTCATTGTCGTGGAACCTTGTGTATTTTGTTTATGTTGTTCAATATAAACTTGAGATCTTGCACTCATTTTTGTTTTCACACGTGAATAATTTAAATAATAATTTATTTGTAGAATCTACAAAAATATGAATTCTATGTGTAATTGAATTAAATAATAAATTTAATGCCATAGAATTAGTGTATATTTTATCTCTTGTTAAACCTAATTATAGATTAAAAAAATTAATCTTAGATCTTAGAATTCAATTTGATAACTACATGTATATAATAATAGAATATAGATTAATATTTACTTCTTCATATAAATATAGACATAGATATAAAAAATTGTACGTAGGTGTACTACTTATAAAGGAGTGCAAAAGAATTTAGAAGTCAAATACTACATATAAAAGAGTTTAAAAAACTTGGAAGTCAAAGATAAAAAAACAAAAATTAGATGACAGTAACTATAATGGTGCAATTAACTTCATAATAAAAATTAGGGAAAAAATAGGAAATCAAAATTTTTCCACATAAGTGGACATTTATAACTAGTATCTAACTATAGATATAGCCATAGATATAAAACAATTCTATGTAACTGTAGTACTTATAAAAGAGTCCAAAAGAATTTGAAAGTCAAATACTTTGAAGGTAAATATAAGGACATAATTGACTTCATAATAATAATTAGGGATAAAATAGAAAATTAAAAGTTTTTCACATATGCTGACATTTATAAGTAGTATACTATAAATAGATGTGGCACTTTTGTTCATGAACTAGCAAGACCATGCACTAGCAATATATCTGTGGATAAACAATGACTTCATAATTTATGTCAAATGTTTCATGTGCTTGGCTCTTCAAGTTCTTTGATCTAGAATTTGCCAAACATGGCTTCACAATTTTTATGATAGACTTTTTTATGATTGTCACTCGTTTAGATGTCCATAATATGAAACACAAATGTGCACCACTTTTATCTACACCAAGGTTTGAAGTATTGACCGAGTTCGATATGACTTAGTCGAATTGTGTCCAACTCGGCCACTACCAATCTTGTAATGATATATGATGCGCGAATGTCATGAGTCTCTCACGAATCAGTCATGACTCGGTCCAACTCGGTATAACTTGGACGATTTACATCCGAATCAAACCGATTCTGACAAAATCTCAGTCAATGGAGAAGATGCGAAAGAAAAAGGCATTAGAACTGAAGAATCATACCCATATTTGAAACCCCACATGCAATTGTTCAACAAGAAACCTTACATCAAACCTTTTTTTGCAATTATGTAAAAGAAGGAATTGAAGAAATTTGTAACCCAAAACCTATAAAATAGTGTAGCCTTGAATATAAAAAGCCCTTTTTGTTTTACTCCTTCCCCCCTCCCCCCTTTCTTCTTCTTTGTCTTGAATCTTATGATTTGCTTGCAGCGATAGGAAGTGGTTCTATTTCAGTTCTAGTCTCCAAATCACAATAGCAAGTTGTTCCTTCGGTCTTCGTCTTTTAGCCTTCGACTCTCACCTTCGAACCTTGGATCTTCAATGGTATGTCGGGCCTTAGCTTCTCTCCCTCGAAAAGGCTAAGGAGTGAAGTCAAAGAGCCTACATTTGTCTCACTCCTCTTAAATGTGTTGAATAATGGTTTTTCCCCCTAATTCATGTTTAATTTCTAGTCTCTTAAAAATATGAAGTTAATATATTTTGTTGACTTCTGTTTTTTATATATAATTGACATTTATTAATTACACTATATAATTAGACATACATAAATCACTACAATTCTTTATAATTTTTGATAAAATTTTATAATTAAATACATAACCCAATTTGTACAATTACTTACCCGTATGCTCTTAAATGCTTATATTGAACACTAGTGATGTGTATCAATGTCCTCCGAATCGATGGTCGCTATCGAGTCCTTGAACCATGATTTGCACCAAGTCTGAATTACCTAGAGGAAATGGAGTAGATGATGTGGCCAAATTACCACGATGTCCACCAAAATTGTTATGTTTTGCTTTATATTTAGCTTAAGGGTATTTAGTACTTGTGTTTATAAATAAGTTGGGATTAGTTGTGTGGTGAAATACTCAACCCTAGATATATTCTTGCTTCTTTGCCTTCTCTAAGTTCTCTTTTCCTTATTTAAACCCTATAACTGTACAATCTAACTTGGTATCAAAACAATGATTCAAATTTGAAGCCTTAAAAGTCATTTGAAATAGTTGAAAATTTTCTGGTCTAAACATAGTGGTTGACGTCAGCCTCTGACATGATGACGTCACCATGACGTAGGGTCTGATTTTTTTTCGACATTTTCATGGAACACTCGAATTGATGCTCTAAGATTTATAGTGATTTTCTTGAAATTTTTTGTGATCATTTGATAGAGTTTCTAATTTGTTTGAAGATTTTTGGTTTTTTCGAATTTGAACGTCATATCTATGATTTCTAGGCTTTGCGCCTTTTTTCTTGATTCGATTCCCCTAGTTGAGGTGCAACTAGGGTGAATCTAAAATACTCCTAAAGTTTTGTTGCATTTTGTTCAGTTTTGAGATGATTTTTGGGCAATTTTGAGGGTCGGCTATAGTGTTTCAGCCTAGTTTGAGGCTCCTTAACCTTTAGTCAATGCTTAACCTTTGATTTGAGGTTTTTTGCTGCTATTGTGCACCCTTGGCTGTTGTGTGCAATTCCTTGGTCGTGATTTTGCCATTTTGTTTTTTTTCCCCACATATTGTGTGGACATATGAGAAGATAGTTTGACTTTTGTGGCGGTTGTTAATATTGGAGGAAGTCGGTTGAATTGTGTGGGGGCTTTCACCAACAACTCTCTTCAAATTAGCTTTTAGAGAAGCTAGGTGGAGACAGTTATTTGGCATAGTCATAGGCTTGTTTATTGTTGATCTAGGCTATTTCTTTAGATGGATATTTGGCAGGGGAAAGTAAGAAACCGAGGGAGTAAGCAGTGGACATTTGAGAATGCCTTGGTAATGTATTGGTTCCTTGAGCCAATGCAATGATCCATCGGTCATGGGTTTCTATTGCTTGATACTGCACACAAGGTTTGGACTGTTGTGTCTCATACTTACTATCAAAGGGGCAACAATACCAAAGCCGATGACTTTTTGAAGGTCTGTGAGACTAATCAGTCAGAAGGATAAACCTCTTGCAACTTATTATGCATAGTTGACTACTTTATAGTAAGAGCTTGACTACCACTAGAATTTTCAAGTAGATTGTGCAATGATACATCGAAATTTCAATATATGGTTGAAGAGGAACGGGTCTTCGACTTTCTTGACGTCCTTAACATTGAGTATGACTAGATTTGGGTCCAATTTTTTTGACGGAACCCATTTGTCACTTTATAAGTGGCCTATGCCTATGTTACCATTGACTGGGATATTTTTAGCTATGGTTATGGTTCATGCTCCCACTAATGAATAGTCTGCACCTAAGTATACTAATAAGATTGGTACCATTGACACGGACATTTTAAAGTGCGACTATTGTGGGAAGATTAGACACCTAGGAAGCACGGACACTTGCCAAAAGGGTACCATGGTAGTGTTGGACATGACTAGAAGTGTTGTGAATTGTGGACCGAGTCGGATACGGCTAGGATACAATTAGAAAACGGTCAGGATACTTCTAGGACATGACAAGGAATTTTTTTAAAACTATTAAAAGAGGTGTTATTTCTATTTTTTAAAAATATAATTTTTTTTATGTAATTTATATATTATGAATGTCAATGAATGTAATGATGTTAGATGAAAATGGTCGATATTTATTTTAATCTATTTCAATTTTAATCAAAAAATTAATATTTGCTCACTCTTATTATTAATATTGTTCTACTCGTGTCCTATATTTTTGAACTTTCCCGTATCCCCATATCTGTATCGTATCAAATACGGCATCTGTGTCCGTATCTGTGCTTTCTAGCTAAACACATTAGATAGTTCTGTTGGAAACTGATTGGACACCCTACACGTGGGCGGGATGGTGGCCGATATGGTACTGTTCAATCACGTAAGAGTGGTGGATGGATCTTTATTATCTATTTTTAGGACATGTTTAATTAATTGTTTTTCCACCATATCTCTCTCATGTGTTCTGTTTGTCCCAATTTTTTTTTATTAACTTTTTATCTGTTAGCAGTATTACAAACTGCTTGAATCGTTTAGTTACATTTTTTCCTCGTATATTTTAGAAACTAAAATCAGGGAAAACCATTTTCAATAGTAGAGCACATGGTGGTGTATATTTTTTGGATGTTGAAGTTCCTCATCCTTAACTCCAAGCCCTTTAAGAAGATGGTGGTTCATCGCTTCTGTTCTTCCACCAATGACAGAGACGTTTGGGACATTCTTTTTTTGGTGTCTTAGAAATTTTTTTTCCTAGTCTACTAAACTAATGTAGTAGACAATTTTTTGTTTGTGATGCTTGTAAAATTGTCAAGCATAAACTGATCGAGGCTAAACAAGTTCAACTAAAAAACAAGCATAAACGTTCATCTTATCCTTTTAATAATAATTGAAGCACTGCCTTTTTATGGTTATTCATTTTGATGTGTGGGGATCTCCTCGTTTGGTATTTATCTTTGGTTGTCATTGGTTTGTCACCTTTATTGATTGTCATTCTCGTATTACTTGAGTTTACTTAATTTGCACTAAGAGTGAAGTGTTCTCTTCCTTCAGATCCTTTCATAAAATGGGGAGTTACTAATTTGATGCTAAAATACAAATTCTTTGAAGTGACAATGAGACTGAATACATTGATGGAGAATTCTATTCATATTTTAATAAGAATGACATTTTTTATCAAATCGCTTGTGTAGATACTCCTGAACTGAACATATTGGCGTTGCTAAGTGTAAAAATCATCACCTTCTTAAGGTTTTTCGATCATTAATGTTCATTATAAATGTTCCTCCAGCTTTTTGGGGGATGCAGTTTTCACCACTACTGCATATTATTAATTGTCTGCGTTTGAGTATTCTCCGGTTTCAATCACCTGTTAATGTTCTCTCTGGAATTTTTTCCATTCCTTCCATATCTTCTCTTCCTTCTAAATTTTGGGTGTTTGTTTTGTACATGACTCCAAATCATCTAGACGAAAAATTGACCCCAAGTCCTCGTGGTGTATTTTTATTGGTTATTCTATTACTTAGAAAGGGTATAAGTGCTACCATCCACCATCACAGATGGTGCGAGTTAGTATGGATGTCACCTTTCGAGAATTTGAGTTATTTTTCCTAACTTCTCAGTCATTTCTTCTGGAGGAGCCTACTGCAATTAAGTAAGAGATGGTATGTCAAAAGTCCTTTATTTAGTGGGATATTAGTAAAAGGGAGACGTAGCCACAACCTATTGGTGGTACTAGTGATTCCTCTGCTACTCGTTTTGACAAGGATAATTTGAAGACTTATTCTCGGCATACCCATGTGTCATCGAGTGAATTACATTCTCAAACTTCGGTTAAGCATCATCTACTGATTTATCAAGTTATCAACTTCCAGCCATTACTCTCGGTCATCGATAAACCAATTGATGATTTTGAGCTTCATATTACAATCAGAGAAAGTGTTACAACTTGCACTCAACACCCCATCTCTAACTTTGTTTCTTATAATTCTTTATGATCATCTTATCGTGCTTTTGTCTCTTCTTTGTCCTTTGTATTTCTTAAAGTTAGAAAGAAACTCGCACCAATTCTAAATGAAAAGAATCTATGATAAAGGAAATGAAAGCACTGAAAAAGAATGACACATGAGAGTTGGTGTGCCTTTCTACTAGGGCAAGATAGTTAGTTGCAAAGGGGTGTTCACGGTCAAGCAACAAGCTGATGAGTTAGTTGAGAGGTACAAAGCTCGACTGGTTGCTAAGGAATTCACAAAAACTTACGGAATTGTTTATCAGGAAACCATTGTTCTGGTGACAAAGATGAACTCTATACGTGCTCCTCTTTGGTGCAGTTAACCTGGGTTGTAGTATCAAGCAATTGGACATGAAGATGCTTTTCTTCATGTAGGAGGTATATATTGTATCCCTCTAGGGTTTTCATTTCAGTTAACGAAAGGGAAGGTGTGTAAGTTGAAGAAATTTCTTTATGGGTTGAAACAGTCACCCAGAGCTTAGTTTGACAGGTTTCTTAAAGCTATGTTAAAATTTGGAAACGGGTTGATTGTAAGATAACGGTTCTCATTGTATAAGTGGATGACATAGTAATGACCGAGGATGATGGGGATGATGTGTAGGAAGTAGGACTAATAATTGAGCCGAGTTTTGTGAGCTCAAGTCAAGTCTATTGAGCTCGTTTTTCTAAACGAATTTAAAAAATTATTCAATTTTGGCTCGTTTAGAAAATGAGTTCAATCTGGGCCGAGCCCAAAACAAGTCAAACCTCAACTATTTTCCATATAAATGAGTTGAGTTCAACTCGAACCTTTTAAACGAGGCTAACAAATTAATCAAGTTTAGCTTATTTAGAACATGAGCTGAGCTCGAGCTGAGTCCGAGTAGCTCGGTTTGATTATTAGTTTTACCCTACCAAGAAGTCGCTAAATTGAAAGTTCGGTTGGCTAAGGAATTTGAAGTCAAAGACTTGAATCCACTGAGATACTTTCTTGAGATTGAGGTTGTGAAATCAAATAAAGCTATTTTTATCTTACAAAGGAAGTATGTTACTGATCTTCTTATAGAAACAGGTATGTTGGGTTATAGGCCTTTTAATTTGCCTATTAAAGCAAATTATCGATTGAATAATGTCTTTGGTGATATAGTGGATAAAGAAAGGTACTAAGATTGATATATTTCTCACACACTCAACGGTGGTTATTGTCAATCAATTCATGCATAATCCTTGAGTTCTTCATCTTGAGTAGTTTATTTTCAAATCATGGTTACTTAAAACTAGAAACATTTATTGATGTAAATTGGGCAGGTTTAGTAGACGACACACGGTCTACTTCAAGTTAATGCAGCTTGAGAGGAGGGAACTTTGTTACTTGGTGAAGCAAAAAACAAGCCATAGTAGCTAAGTCAAGTGCAGAGGCTGAGTACAAGGCTGGCTCGTGGAATTTGTGAGCTTATGTGGCTCCAAATTTTACTGGAAGAGTTGGGAATTTCTAATGATGGACCTATGAGACTATAGTGTGATAATATATATCAATATTGTTCATAATCCAGTTTGACATGATAGAATCAAACATATTCAGATTGATCGATACTTCATCAAAGAAAGCTGAACAAGGGTTTGATTTCTATGCCATTTGTGAAATCAGAAGGTCAGTTGGTAGACTTTTTCACTTAAAGGACTTAGTGGCAAGATTTTTTACCCTATTGTTTGCAAGTTGGGCATGCGAGATGTCTATACACCAACTTGAGGGGGAGTGTTATGTTATGCTTTATTTAGTTTAAGGGTTTTTTAGTACTTGTGTTTTCATATAATAGCTGGGATTAGTTATGTGGTGAGATACACAACCCTAGACATATTCTTACTTATCTTTCTCTTCTCTAAGTTCTCTTCGCCTCTCTAGACCCTACAACTTCACTATCTAACTAAAATATTTGTTCTGCATATACTATTTATTGATTTACGTTTGCAATTCATATTACTGCCTTATGAATTAAGTGAGGTATTTTCTGTGGTGCCTTTTTGCCAAGTCCATTGGCGTGGTGTAATGCTGACATTTTTAATAGATAAGGTTTGTCTTGCTTCAAATGAAGGTGGTTGCATAATTATTCTTCAATTTTTGTTTGCCAAAATAGGCCTAATTAGTTGTTTTTTAATAGGTAACTGGTGAGGGAGAGGATAAGTATTTGATTGCTACTGCTGAACAGCCACTTTGTGCTTATCATCTTGATGATTGGATTCATCCTTCACAATTGCCATTAAGGTTAGAACATTTTCTATTAACTATAGTTGCTTTACTGGGTGCGAAAGGACCTTCACAAATTACAAAAGAATGGCAGTTACTTTTGTCAATTAATACTGCACAATATGCCAGGTATGCTGGATATTCATCTTGCTTCCGTAAAGAAGCTGGTTCGCATGGAAGGGATACTCTTGGAATTTTCAGAGTGCATCAGTTTGAGAAAGTGGAACAGTTTTGCCTTACAAGCCCAAATGGCAACGACTCCTGGGAAATGCACGAGGAAATGCTCAAAAACTCTGAGGAGTTCTATAAGATGGTATAAGTTTTTCTGTCCTTGTTATCCTACGAAAATAATGGAATATTTTTTTTTCTTGCCTAAATTTAATTGACACCCCCCTATGGTTTCATTAATGAATTCTTAATTTAAATTAAATGTTCATTCATTCTTAATTTGATGAGATTCAATGTTTAATTTTGGGTTGGATTGATGAAATTAAATTTTAAATGGATGACATGAATGGTAATTGAATAAAAATAAATTTGAAATTGATGAAATTCATTAGTTTTGTTGGATGGTGTGCGTGAAAGAGAGTGAAAATGGCTTGCCCAAGAATGGAGGATAAATTTAAGGGTAATTGTGTAAAAATACAATTTCTGTCTATTTCGTTAAAAGACAAAATCTGACAGGGGGTGGCAGTGATATTTCAGAAACTCTAGGGGGTGTCCTTATTATTAAATTATTCCAGGGGGTGTCCGTGAAATTTACCCTTTTGCTCACAATTTTAATTTTATTTATGTTACCTTTTCTAGTTTACATTCTTCCTTGTGTTATGTCATATGTGAACCTTTTTTTTTTGGGCTGAAGGTGTCATATGTGAACCTACTGCACATAATTTTGGTCTGAAGATGCTAGATTTTGTGCCATAGACATACTTGCATAGTTAATCCTGCTAGCTTTCAATATTTCAAGAAAAACAAGTGATTCATGAGCCTGATGGTTTGGTGATGCTAAACTCTGCCACTTGGGACAAAGAATATGCAGAGTTGTGTATGGGTCTCCATTTGTGACACCTGGACAATCTCCTCTATTGATGCCTTTTTGTTCCGTAGAAGATCTGACCTTTCTTTGTTTTACAGTTGAAAATTCCCTATCAAGTTGTGGCCATCGTTTCTGGTGCATTGAATGATGCAGCTGCAAAGAAGTATGATTTGGAAGGGTGGTTTCCTTCATCCAGTACTTACAGAGAGCTTGTCTCCTGCTCAAATTGTACAGACTATCAGTCAAGGAGATTAGAAATTCGCTATGGGCAGAAGAAGGTAGATGCTGAACTGCATTTCTTGTTATTATTGCTGAACTGAGCCTTGTCCATCTCTACATTCCTGACTACTGTCAAGGGTTTTCTCCATTGAAAGAATGAAAGGGCAATTTTTTCTTAAGAAAATTTAGGCATAATATAGCAAACGCATAATTGATGTACTTTAAGAGTGAGAGGCAGAACTAATTCATTCTATTTGCACTTTATGACAATATGAGGTGCATCCTTCACTCTACAAGTTATTATAATTTTTAGCAGGTTGAATACATTCTTGAATTTCTTTTTTAATGTTGCTTTGAAATTCTGATTGTTTTCCTCTTGCAAATGTGATGCAGAACAACGAGCAGGCAAAGCAATACGTACATTTGTTGAACTCTACCCTCACAGCGACAGAAAGAACAATGTGCTGCATCCTTGAGAACTACCAGAAGGAGGATGGTGTTGAGGTACCAGAAGTGTTGCGAGAGTACATGGGTGGGGAGACATTTCTTCCTTTCTTGCAAGCACCAACCAAAGAAGTGAAAGGAAAGAAATCCAAAGCTTGAGGCCTAGTTTTATCTTTCCCCATTTTTTAAAACAAAAGCTTTGATCTACTTTGGGGGTTGAATTTTGGGAGTTAATTGGTTGAAAAACTACCCACAAAAAAATCACGGAAAAAAGACTCGGGTGAGAAATTTGTGAGAAATTTGAACTGTTAAGGAGATGCTACAACAATGTTACAAGATATTTTGCAGATATCTGACCGATTACTACAACTAATTCGTGCTGCCTTGGTATCATTGTTATTGATGATATTGAACATGTATTAGGTGACTAGTGCAAGACAAGAGTAATTGGTATCCATATATCTCTTGATGAGTTATTGCAAAAATCTCTTGTCGAGATAACACTAGGAAGAAATGGGTATCCACATTGGTCATTTAACACTACTTTTTTGTGGAACATAGTTTTGTAGGATATGAGGGAGTAATTATAGTTTTTTGCTTTATTTGGTGCAATGTCTGTGTGAGCATGAGTTCGTGAGTTGTAGTTTTGTGCTTTATTTGGGTACAACCACAAACCCTTAGAAACTCTTCGCTCCTTTTTCTTCTTTCTGTGCTTGAATAACAATCATATGCTAGTGTTGTCGTGGTTATTTTTTACTACAAAGAAAGAGTTTATAACATAATTATCAGTTCAGGTCATTGTACATTTTTTATTTTGTGTTGCACAATAAAGTTATTTGTTCTTTTCTTCTTCATTGAACTTTGTTCAAACAATCTCTTATGAATTTTCTCATGACAAATCAGCCGGCCTTTTTATGTATTTTGTGTTTACACTTGAGTAGCTTGTATTTATATCTCATCCATTATATTGTTTTCTCAAAGATAAATCACTAATCATGTATCGGTGAAGGACCCACTTATGTAATAATAGTCATACTTGAATTCTATTAAGCGAAATTAGAGGAAAGTATGTTGAAAAGAATCAAAATGATGTAATTGGTAGACTATGACATAAAATTCAAGACAAATGCATATAATTTATTGTAGGAAGGGGTTCCACCAAAAGGTTGAGAGAAAAATTGAAGAACCTTACCCCATTTGGAAACTCTGATTCGTTTTTATTTCTCAAATAGATATTTAGTGATAGAGAGTAGTTTAAAAATGGCTGAGCTAGAGAAAAGAAATAATTTGCAAATATAGTATAGAAACTATAGAAGAGATTTCTCATTTTTTGAAAAGATATTACAGGGAAAAACAAAGGACAATGTTAAAATTTCTGAATGAATAATGAATTAACATTTTGAGTATGAATTAAATCGCCGAATTATATGAGTATGAGCAAACAAAGAACTCCACTCCACATAACCAGATCCAACTGGTTTTGAAAACTAGATAATAACATGAGATATAATTTCTTTTTTTTTGCTTTTATTCTCCATCAGATAAATGATCCTAGTTAAATATACATATATGTATGTGTAAGGGATAGAAATCGCTACGGATCTCATCCAAAAGGATTCCGGCTGACCTTGCGGCACCGAGCCCCAGTAGCCTTTACCTCTCTTCGCCAATAGGACCCTTTCCTAAAACAATCTCACATCAGAAGAGAGTCGTGATCCCCCCTGCCATATAAGTGAACACTTCCTATGGAGGAGGTACCCACTAACGGCCTGATCAGGTGCCTAGTGGGTACCTCCTCCATAGGAAGTATTCACTTATATGGCAAGGGGGAGGACGACTTTCTTCCGATGTGGGATTGTCTTAGGAAAAAGTCCTATTGACGAAGAGAGGTAAAGGCTACAGGGGCTCGGTGCCGCCAGGTCAGCCGGAATCCTTCAAGTGGAGGGATGAGATCCGTAGCGATTTCTACCTCTTACAGTATGCATATTATATCGGCACACACGCACACAAACACCATAAGTTGGTTCAATATAGGGCTCCAGGATGTGGACTAGCACAATCACCTAGGTTTAACAACCAAATATCCTTTTGTCATCGAATGGTTTTCCATTCGATGACCACTTCTACAAAAGCCAAAAAAAAAAAAAGAGAAAACAAATCAACAAAAAGAGGAAGAATAAGCCAGCACGGGCTGGGACAATAAACCCATCAGCACGGGCTGGGACAATAAACCCATCAGCATAAACTGTTTGACAATTTATAAGCTTCATAAAATATAGAGCTATATGATCTGTGAACAACCTTAATAAACTCATTCCAAGTGAATGAAAAACATGCTAGATTCACAAACACATGCCATTTAAAGATTTCCTTACATGCCAAGTTGAAAATAAACCTATGATTACCTCAAGATGAGACCGAAGAAATTATTCTGATAGAATGCAGAGCTCTCAATTCCAGATATAAGTTTATTCTGAGGTGAAGCACCAATACGGACTAATGTTAGTATTTCTCTATGTCTATGTATTGGTGAATATCCGGCATCAGATTCTCTCTTATAATGGAACTACTTCTGAGGTTTCAGCTACATAACAGTCATGTGTTCATACTGTCTTATTCAGGGCTCTGCACGATTATCGTTTAACAAGAAGTGCAGCATTTTTGCCAGAACTAGAGCTTCCTACTCGAGCACTGAATAGTTCGTTTATTCTATGAAGTCCATATTTCCAACTAACTCATCCACCTGTTATCGTACCCCTTGTTAGCAGTAGAGACCTTCTGATTGCAAGTATAAGTACCCAAGTGGTTGCAGTGATTCTCTCCTTTACCATCAAAAGCAATGCAGAGCTCAATACAGTCTTCAAGATCTGAGCCCGCAATCCCTTAAAGAAGCCCAGCACCCCTTCTTTTCTCCAAATAGCATGAAGAACACCAGATATTGTTTTGCGGGATTTTTGTCGCTCTTTCTTAGCCCCGTCGTCACTGGAGTCTGCAGCCTGGATCATGACCTTACACCTATTTGCAATCTTTATTAAATGCTCCAAATATGGTCAAGTTGTTAAATGCAACAGAGCATGAAAGGATACTAAAAAACCTGATTGCTGGATATGTCAAAAGGGTGGCAATGCTCTTCGAAACCGCACCCAACACAAAAGCGGAAAAAGCAGAAAGGGCTTCGGGGGTTGAACCCTTCTCCATTTTACTCTGCTTCTCCTTAAGAAGTCTTTGTTTGAGCTGATCAAACACCGTATACTGCAGTAATTAAAACCTAGTATCAGTTTAAATGTTCTCTATTTAAAGGAAAATGTCCATGTTTAAGTTGTTTGCTTTAGGATAATAACATCATTTCTTGAGGTAAGATCCAGTACCTGAATTGCGGGGTTGGAAGTCAAAAGAAGAGAGATGCCAAGGCCGTCAAATGCTTCACTCCAACTGCCCTCCGTAAGTGTTTGCCAAAGCCCTTTTGATTTTCCAAAAGCGCTTGTCTGCATCCTCGATGATGCTGTATCCAGTGGCTACATAGTAAAACAAAAAATTTGCATGATACAAAAAATGATGAAGGGTAATGAAAAATTTTAGAAGTGAAACATATATGTTACATTTAGTTGAACAAGATGATGAAGGGTAATGAAAGAAAATTTGCATGATACAAAAACCATTGCAACCCCTATTTGTCCTAGGATTCCAGGAGGCAAACAGAAAAAAAAATTTAGCCCAATGTATATAAATTTTTTACCACCACTCCAGCCCATGTATATAAAATTTCTTCCTTTTCCTACATGCAATCAGAAACCAACTGCAGGGTAATTCAGTCTATAAAGTTTTTATTCAAATAACAGAAAAGTTGGGTATTTCACAAAATAAATGTCATTCTTTGGTTTTTCAAATCATACTAAAGAATCTAGTCATACAATCGCAACATCGAGTAATTTCTTCAGTTCCTTGCCAAATTCAGCTGAAGTAACATTTGCACTTCACCCTTTATAAAGTCTTTTCTAGGTCTTCATGATACCAAGTACATCATTAAATTACATTTATAATGCCACACAAAACAGAAGCTGAAATTGAGGTTTGCAATATAGATAGCATTCTCAGGTTCTGCATCACCAGTTTCACGTTTTTTAAAACAATTTCAAGCTGGAGATTGCAGAATGATAAAAAAAAACTACCTGAGTCACAATGGCAGTACATGCCCCAGCAGCAGCAGCAAGAATCAAGTTAGCTCTTGTTCCAATGGATTTGAAACCAGTCCTTTCCAGATACAACCTTTTGAAGTAGCTATACCCATAGAAGTAGACAAACTGAGCAATGAAAGATTGCAAGTTCTTGGTTCCCAGGCCCTGGTACAATGAAAGGACCTGACGGGTAGATATTGCCTCTGCAAAAACATCCGACAGGTTCCTGCATAAGCCATAGAAAATGAGTTGACATGTACTATAGTCTATGGACAAATAGTAAGCCTTGATTACTGATAATATAAATTTGTGCCTGCAAAAAAAGTGGGATGTGAGTAGGGGGACTATAAAAATCGAACTAATCGTTTACTAAAATTTTTGGAAGAATAAGGGGACCAAATAGTTGACTGTTTGTAATAAATAGATTGAAATGCCCGAGAAGCATATTTCTTTTCTTCCAAGAATCAGAATACAACTCGTATCTGACCTCATTGTTTAAAAAAAAACCACAGAAACAGAAACAGAAACCAATCCAGAGCTCCTCCAATCATGTGTTTGACTCATATAGTTCTGGTTATGTGGGTGGTGCTTTGTGGTATCATAAAATTATTGGTGTACTAAAGGTTATTGTTAAGAGTTTTTTATGTAGATTTGTGTGGTTTTTTTAATTTATGGGGGATTGCCAACTCTAGTACTATGAATGTAGCAACGACTATATCCTCTAATGTCATTGCGGTTGAAGGTCATGGTATTGACCATCAACTCGGGAGGCTCTGAGATACATGGATCGCGGCATCACGGAATGGTGTTGAGCAATACGAACTAAAAGAAGAAGTTGAACATGGCGAGAAATTCAAGTCATGTCGGGCTGTCCAGAAACAGTATCAGCCGATTCGATGACAATAACTCGAAGACTCAGGGTTAATCTGAAGAAATCTGGATGACTCAACCAACATGTGCGAAACGTGGAGTTTATACTTAACG